CGGGCAGAAAAATAGGGGATATGGGAGGCTAAAACAGTGTGGGCCATTACTAATGAGAAAGCGAGTGGCGCCGTCACACTATACCGCACCCAGGTACCTTTCCTAACCGCAGTATTGAACTTCGCAATCTCCCTTTCCCCCCCACCCCCCTTTTCTTTTTTTCTCGTATTTTTTTGTGGTAGGTTTTCCTATCCCAAATTCTCATGGGCGCTTGTTTCGGATGAACTTTGTCAGACCCCCCCCCCCTCTTTGTTCCCACACCAAGGCATTTGAGCCGTGTGATTAGGCTGCATGCCCCGTGCCGCCCGTTGATCGCTTTTGTTAATGCAAGGGGCGGGGCTGGGGCGGGGCGTGGCATGGTGTGGTGAGGCGGGCCGAGGTGTGGCGGGGTGAGGCGGGGCAGGGTTGGGCGTGGCGGCGCCTGCTCGGGCAAACTTGGCGCCCGAGGACGTCTCTGTACCCCCGGCAGAACGACTTGCAGTTAGCGGAGCGGTTACTTTATTCTCTCCGGGTGCGCCGCTTACTGTAGCGCGGGACGGTGCACCCCAGAGTCTACACTCCTCCATGCACTCTCCATTTTATCATCATCTTTTCTACTCCGGCCACGCTATTTTCTTCCAAGGCCGGGGAGGAGTGCCGGTGGACGTCTTTCACATAAATTTCACGATACCGGCAAATGCTTTTTCTCTGTTATTTTTCCGATACAGAACCACTTCGGCCTATTTTCGTGGGCATAGAGCCAACAACATTTAGTCGAGTTGTGAGAAAGCGTGCGGCAAGCTCACGCACGCTCACGAACATGTGCGCAAAACAAAATGACACAAACACACGGATGTGTACGCAGACACTCACACTCACACACACACACACACACACACACACACACACACACGAACCTGCTGGAACGTGAGCTAGAAGAGGCGGAAGAGGCCCTGTGGCGACGACGCTTTCCGCCGGCGACTTGTTCAAAGGCACACAAGGTGACGCCCAGGACACGCCCCGCTGTCAACCACTCAGACACACACACACACAAACACACACTTTTGTAATCCACAGGGTAGAGTCTGGCGGTGGCCCGTCGCCTGCAGACGCGGCTCTGCGCGTGTCGAGCGCGGCTCGGTCCAGGCGGCTCGCGGGGAGCGGAGCGCTGCGCGTCGCGGCGGTGGTCGGGGCCCAACTGGCGGCTGGAGCAGCGGGCCGCCCGGGGTGGGGCCGAGGGCGTGGCAGCGCGTAGTGTCCGGAGCGGGGCGGGGTCGGCCGGCCGGCTGGTGTATGTAGGATCGGCAACCGCCATCACACACGATGGATAGTGCGAATAGAGAAGTCACGATATTTTGCTATGATAATTATATGGGGCTTTCGCCAGTTGGGTTGACGACACTCCTAGCTGGCCATTCAGGAAATTCAAGCGTCAAAAATGTCAACCTCAATAGGAAAAGACAATTCGACCCTCCCTACGCACAAGCGGCTATCTTTCTGAGCGTGTGGCAGAAAAACGGCTATCTGCTTTTCTTTGAGGTTAGGTTTGTCCACTCTTATATTGAATAACTGTCGAAGTAAGAGACAAAGAATTACCGTGTGAGAAATTTCCTGCTTTGACAACCGCAAAGAATAATTGGTTAAACGCTCATAGTGTTACATAACCTCTACTGTGAGATATTCGAACCCAAAGTCGCGAGGTGGAAAAAGCAGTTTGCCGTTTGTCTGCCCAGCTCAAAAAGATAGCCTTTTGTCTGCCACGCCCAGAAAGATAGCCACTTGCACGTAGGGAGGGTCGAATTTTGTATTCAGCTAGGACAGGGGTCGCAAACTCGCGGCTCGCGAGCCAAGCGCGGCTCTCCTAGCCTGGTAGCGCGGCTGGCCGAGAGCCGCGCTCGGGTAGCTCGGAGCTGAGCTAGACCCAGCCGTCGTCGTCTGTCGCCGGACACACGAAGCTCGCTCGCTAGACCAGTGTGTGTGTGTGTGTCTGTCCTTGTCGCACTCATTGAGGTGCCATTGGGATTGACAAAGACGCACTGGCCGACGACCGAGCGCACAGCGAGACTAGCCGGCGGCGACAAGCAGTGCGGCCGGGCACGGGTCAGTCGCTGAGGCACCACTACACCTATCTCTCACTCTTTTTGCCGAAGAGCTCGCAATGCGTGTGGCCTATGCAGGCGAGACTCTGCGGATAGCTCGAGTTTGCGACCCCTGAGCTACAATATTGGATACAAATTTGTCTATCCACACGGTAAAAGCAATGTCTGATTTTTTGAGGAAAAAGGGGAAACTTATTGGAGGAACTCCCACGTTTGAGGAAAAATTCCACAGATTTTAAGGAAACCCGAAAAACGGGTAGACTTTCCTTATTTTATGAGAAGATCGCCTTAAAATCTGAGGAGTTTTTCTTCAAAAATACACATTGTTTTCACCGTGTCAGGCTAGACACACGAAATCGCCAAGAAAATACACATACGACCCTTTGTCCCGACCATAGGGAGATCAGACCCTATGGCCGGCCTCTCCGAGATATGACCTTTTAATTTTCAAGGGTCGAGTAGACAAACGGTTTGCACTGACGCATACCGAAGCACCGGCTCTCAAAATAAGTGAAATTTTCTGGAATGAATCGAAAACAACAGGTGCAATCAACGTGAGTTCACAGCCGTCGCACACCGCAAGATTCATAAGACTCGAAAAGTACAGATAAATACTTGAAACACGCGTCGCGTCGCGGCCCACGCTGTGGGCACGGCCCCGGGCACGGCCTCCTCATCCGGCTTGTGAGCGCGAGGGCGAGACGAGGCGTGCAAACTTGGACGGCTCGGCTCAGCGGCGGCGGGGCCTCCTCCTCCGTTGGACGGGTGCGTGCCGGATTAGGCGCGGTGGCGCGCGCAACTTGGCGATGGCGCTGCGTGAGGCGCCGAGAGGCACCGTGCGGCACCGTGAGGCGGGCGCACTGCGCCAAAACAAACTGGGATCGGAAGCGCGCGAGCGGCAGCGTTTGTGTTTGTGTAGGATTTGCAATGATGGCAGTACAGCGTTGTCATTACGCGCCAACACGGAAAGTGTTTGCTGGCTCAGCATACCTGCATGCAAAGTGGGGAGGGACAAATTCTGTTCGTGAGCTGCCAGTGCACATTGGGGCCGATTGGCCCGGCTTAGACCTCTCACTTATTCGATCTGCTCGTGATCGCTCGAACACGAACATGAGTTGTTCGGATTCAGTATTTCCAAACACTACTCGAACAGAAGCTCGTAGGCGGGAATTTAAGCATATTTCAGAAAGACGCGCCATATTTATTTGGGTGCACTGTAAAACCACCTGCTGGTCATGTTCACAGGTGGAACAGCATGCCTGCAGGCTCGCACGAGCAAGTGTGTGTGTACCTGCCACGTCGACTGTTGCAAGAGTGCGTGCCTGGTCAGGGGGCAAGAACTCATTGTCAGCTCCTTAGTTTAGCACTTTTTAAAGCACCCTAGTTCCGAGAGTGAGAATTGACTTGCACCTCTGTGCGCCCGACCTTCACGTGTGTACCTGCCAAATTTGTTCAAGTTCGTTCAAATTCAAACTGCTCTGTTCGCTCATCTAGGTTTCGCCAGGGTCACAGGAACGAGCGCGGACGTGCGTGCTTTATGATACGGACAAACAAATTCAAAAGTTCATTTTTTTAAGCATAAAACTGCCACTGCCTTGTATTGAATAGAATAGAAAAAATTGATCTTGGGTCAAAATAGTACCTAAGACCTAATCCAAGTAAGTGGGGAAAATACTTTTCTGGGTGTAGATTACAATAGAGTTGAAGCCTACGTGAGTTTCTCGCCCAGGCCCAGGCCAGGACTAGGGGATCCTTCACAGCTGTGTTCGGTTGCTGGCGGGCCGGACCGCATCAGTTTGTTATGTGAGCACATGGGGCGTGGATGCTCGGTAGCCACACGTACTTGTGGCCGCCTAACACCCACACATCGACAAGTTGAGCGGTTGGGACATCCGTATGCACATGCACTATATGTTACCTGGAAACTCGACTAACCAGCTCATCTGAATAGGTTTTCAAACGGCTGAGCACGGAGACACAAGATAGGCTGTAGTAGTTAAAACATTGCATATGCGGAAAAACTAATTTTATAGCTGTGAAGCTAATTATGCAGCCATGCAGGTAAATACTGCCAGTGTATCTGATACAGTAATTCAGCCTGCTGCCAAATGTTGAGGTTCACAGCTATTTTCAACAATGTCAGAGTTATGAAAATTAGTTATCTCGTGTGTAGCTCTCAGTTTAAATACCTCAGCTAATCGTTCTTTTTCTCAATCAATGCGACAACTGCCATGTCTAGAAACGCCCTCCAACACCTGCTCGTCCGCGGCGCAACTCGGCGGTGGTGTTGGGTCACGGGAGGGACGTCGTCGGAGAGGGGGTGGGGGAAGAGAATGAAGCGAGATAGATAAGATCGCGTAGTGAGGAAAGGGAGGGGGTACATGGGACGCGTTACGTCCTTGGTGGCCGTCGTCCTCGGCTCCCTCCCCCTTGTCCCGCGTCCCCCGACGTGCCCGGCATGACGAGTCGGTTCAAGAAACGGAGGCTGCGCTTGGGCCAAGGCCCCTACCCCCTGCCCCCTCGCCGTCTCCAGTTGTCCCCGTTAAAACAACCCCCACCACTGCCCAACCTGCCAAGCCCGCGCCGGCTCTACAATACAGGCGAGTGCTGCCTGACACCTCACAAAACGGTCCACAATCGGCTGGGCAGCTGGCTCAGCGTGGCGGCGCCCAGCCCAGCCGCCCACCGGAGATTTTTATGGCAAAGTCCCCTTGCGCCCCTGCTGCTGCGGCCATCGCAAACCCATCCGACCGATGATATATAGTGCGTCGCCAGGGTGGGGAGGAACGGGGCTGGGTGGGTCGAGGCGGTGCGGGTTGAGGGGCGAGGACCCTGGACAATGGCGGCACGGAGGGCCAACACAGTGCCAGGAGGCAAACAAAACACTCGTTATTAACTCTGTAAAGGGCCCAAAGTCAACAAATACACACACACACGCGCGCTCACTCACACAAAGCGGCGTGCCGCGATCCCGTGAAATAAAGTAAGCTCGCTGTCGCGTGTATGCGCGCTGAGCGTTGTGCACTTAGCTCAGCGTGTGTCATCTGTTTGAAAAGCGCGTGCGGGGTCAAAAATGGAAAGAGTGCAAAAGAGAAACGGCCGCTGGAAAGGACGCGGGCGCACAAACCACACAACACAGTGGGAAGAGGGGGAAGAGGGAGAAGAGGGGGGGGGGAGAAACAACGACAATAATACAAGCGCCGCAGACAAAAGAATGCTTGTAGCTGCTGCACAACACCAGACCGCCGCGGCGCAACCGCGGAACGCCTGCCACCGACAGGGTAGGCAACCCGCACACACGGATGCGGGCGGGCGGTATCCGCGCCTGCGAGCGGGTCGCATGTCGCACAAAGGGGAGGAGGGGAATAAGAGAGGACGCCGATACGACACCGGTCCTGCGCAGCTGCCACGCCTTCCAATTCGCCGGGCCACTCCCTCTCGAGCGTCATGGCCGTGTCGACAGCGGCGCGTACCGCTGCACCTGCCACGGGTGCGCCCCCGGGCGGCGGCGCGCCTCGCAAAGGTGCGCTTGGGAATGGAATCTCACTGCTGAACGGTACCCTTTCGGGAACGCGAGATGAAACGGTCCGGAGGTTAGTCAAAGGGCCCCTCCATCCGTTGGGGGCTGGGCCTCGAGTGGCCGGTCGGCCGGCACTCATCGTCGGGCACTGGGCGAAGTTTCGATAACGAGTGGATGTACAGGGTGCGGTGAGTGTTGGTCGAGGGCCACGGGGGCCACAAAACCACGCCAAACTGTAACGAAAACTGGCTAATGGCGTTGCGCCCTGATCAGGACCGGCAGGGCCCATGAAAGGATTGGTTGGGTCAGGCTGGCTGTGCCGGGCCGTGTCGCGGTGGGCTGGGCTGGGCCTGGAGGGGGAGG